GGAATTAGTCAACCAATAATCCATCCATTATTATATATTACCACAAAAATTCATTTAGACGGTGAAAATAAAATTTTCCCTAATAGATATTAGATAATTTTATTTATGAAAACTTGAGATTTACTGAAAAAAATGTATTTTTTTTATTTCCATTCATATTTGAACCTTATATATGCCTTATACCTCTCAACTCAACGACTTTTGGTATTGAATCTTCCAAATCATTATCGCAGAATATCCATACTCATTTTTTTAATCCTTTGAGAAAATGAATTCATAAGATAGAATCAATAACGATCTATCATTCGTATTAGAGATAATTATGTGTATTATATTTTAAAAAAAAATAACCTAATAACACACACACACACACAAAAAAAATTTACACGATCAATATATTACTCGTAAATTAAACCTTAATAATTTGAGTTATGAGAGTTGCTCAGCTTGTTTGAAACCCCTTGTCGTGAAGTATGAATCTCATCCCCCTCTCTCCACCCGAAAAAACAAACAAACAAACAAGAAGTTAAAACTCTAACAACTAAACTAGTTAGAAAGTTGAAACCATGTTGTGCATTATATCATTTCCAAAGGTAGTTAAGGGTTAGGTCTATCTCTCCCATAACACCACCAACCAACAAAATATCCTTATCATTATTATTATTATAATTATTATTATTATACCAATATTTGATTTGACCAATTAATAAACAAGTGACTAAAAACCCCATTATATTCATTCATTCTTTCTTTCTTCTCTTACAAAAAAACAACAACAACATGAACTTCACTTTCTTGAACTCAATTGTTGAAAGAGTGTCACTAAGGCTACCATTACTATTCTATGCAGCAACATGGACAACTATTCTTACAATAATCGTAGCGTTGGCATCATTTTCTCCAGAATTAGCCTTTGTTAGCGCGATAACACCTTCTTCTTCCTTCTCTCAAGCTTGTCATCATGATCATAATCGTAACGAAAAAGGATATGTAAGAATACCATTGGATCTTCCATTAGAGGTTTTTTGTTTTCCTTCTCAAGATTTTAAAAGATCTCAAATGGATTTAATTGTTCCTCCTATCTTTGCTGCTACTATTGTGGCTCTATCTGCTTATGTTGTTAAAGCTTTAGCTTTATGGGAAGTTGATGATCAACATAATAATCAATTTTGACTTTTTTTTTTTTTGTCTGTGAGATTTGATTTTGTTACATTTTATTATAACAATAGTACTCAATTATTATCTCAGAAAGTTATCTTTTTATTTTAACTTTTTTACCTAAAGAAAGTGATGTTATGAGATAATAAGTATTAGTTTATCGATTATATGATAAATTAACTTTATTTATGTAGTCGATCTCTAATTACTTTAATTTCTTGTTTTCTTTGGACAATGATATTTATGTGTTTAAGTAATTGGAATTTTTGATGGAAGTTGGATATTATAGGTTTCGATAATTGATGAGTCAAATTCTGATGAAGGTTCTCTAGTTCTTTTAATTTCTTGTTTTCTTTGGACGACGATATTTATGTGTTTAAGTCATTGGAATTTTCGATGGAAGTTGGGTATTATAGGTTTCGATAATTGATGAGTTAAATTCTGATGAAGGTGTTTGTGAAAAATTAGCAATTTCTTTTATATAAGATTTATGTTTTGGAAGAAATTTTAATTAGGGAATTTGAAAAAAGGCTATGTTAAAAGGTATATTTCTTTATTTATAAATAGAAAAAATTTGATAAATTATTATAAGTATACAAAAAACAAAATTAACATAGGTAGTGCAATTTAATTCAATTGAACACTCTTCTTGAATTTGAATTAGTGTAATTTATCTTGAATTCAAATAATGCAATTTATCTTGAAATTAAATGTTGTAGCTTATTGTAAATAAAATAAAATAAAATAAAAACAAACAAATTTGTTCTTCCTTTAGAATAGGTCCAATGCATTCATTTTTTGACTAACATAAGACATTCAATATATTTGTTCTTCGTGAAAAGGTGTTTGCTTTTAATATATTTTATAATATAAATAAATATAAAATGAATTATTTTGTAGGATTTGGGCTAAGCCTTTTGATATTAGTAGAAGAAGAAGAATAATAAAAAAACTTTGAAAATTTGTGGTTTAAAAATGTGAGAGAACACCTCTATTTGTACGAACAAATTCTTATTGTGACCACAACCCTTTAAAAAAATCAAAACTCTTTGAGACAGTCTTTTTTTTTTCCGTGTCTTGCTTATTAATAATATAATAATTATTAGGAGGGGGAATAAGGCCTAACACCTCTTAAAAATCACAATCCTTCGAAAGAGTCACAACTCTTTGAAAAAATAAAAATCCCTTCGCAAAAAGTTATAACTCTTCAGAAAAGTCATCATCCTTTTGAAAAGTTACAATCATTTAGTGTGAATCTTTTAATATATTTTTATATTATAATATAAATAAATATAAAATATGTACTAAATTGGGTGTTTTAAGAAGGAAAAATAGAAAACTTAGAAATTCGTAGTTTTAAAATGTTAGAGAACTCCTCTATTTATAGTTAAGAAAGATAGTATGGACATGTGCTTATTGTGCTTATTAGAAAAGACACAACTCTTCAGAAAAATCATAACCCTTTAGAAAGTCACAACTCATCGAAATAGTCGCAACTCTTTAGAAAAGTCAGAGATCTTAACTAAAGTCGCAACCTTTTATAATAATAGCAACCCTCCTAAAACGTCACAAATCTTTAAAAGTTTACAACTCATTAGAGAAGTCACAACTTTTTGAAAAGTCGCAAAATTTTGAAAAAGTCATAACTTTTTGAAAAAATCTCAACCCTTTAATGTGAAAATGTGTATAATTTTAATACATTTTATGATACAAAAAAATTAAATAAATATAATATAAGAAAAAGGATCTAATATACCCCTCAACTTTGTCATTTTGGAACTGATATACTCCTCGTTACGAAAGTGACTCATATATATCGCCACTAATATACAAATGACTCAATATATACCCTTTTCCTTTAACAGAAATGAAAAAAGATAATTTTATTTTAATTTATAATTATAATTATTTTTTTAAAAATATAATCCA